TCTCTCTCTCTCTCTCTCTCTCTCTCACTCTCACTCTCACTCTCCGCTTCGTCATTGGCGACAAGAAAGGCTTCTCTCATGGCTGCTCTTAGAGTTATTAAACTTAAACGTCAGTGTTCATTATTAGTAATTTCTTTTACATACTTTTTTTATTTTATATATATTTTCTCTTTTTTTTTCTTCACATTTTAGTTACGTATGGGGAGTTCTGGGCCGTAAGATACGTAAGTTATCCTTTCGTTTGATTTTTCTTTCTATCTCTCTCTCTCTCTCTCTCTCTCTTTTTGCAAGTATAAGCGAAAATCTCACTCTCACTTTCGCTCTCTCTCTCTCTCTCTCTCTCTCTCTCTCTCGCCCTCTCTGCGCTGTCTAAGATCTTTCAAAATCGAAGTCAGAGCCATTTCGAAGTTCTCTCTCAAAATCGATTCAGATCGGTGAGTTTCTCTCTCTCTCTCTCTCTCTCTCTCTGTGTGTGTGTGTTGTCTAAACCCTAGTTATCTCTGTCAGTTCAGCTCTGTGATTCAGAGATTCAGCTTTGTAATTTTACTCACAATTCACTTGAATTTGTTGTTGCTTTGATTTTACAAGCTGATTTGTTGTACATTTTGCATGTATAATTTAAATGTTAATGGTTTTGTTTATCATACATTCTCAAACGGTGGAGGTTGGCCATCACTTGCTTGTGCTTTGTGTTTTTAATTAGGATTAATATGCTATTATGTTGGTTTGAGTTGCCTAGGGTTATAACTTATAAGAGCTTGACATTGATACATAGATGGTTATTTTAAAACATAAAAAATTATTTCTACCTTGTAGCAGAAAGTTCTTATGGGAAAGAATTTATTGTGGAGGACCTTGCTACTGCTTTTGTACAAAAAAAAATTGTTACAGTTTCATCATATGGTGGTAATGATATGAAGCAATAGTCCCTCCAGAGAAAGATGTTAAAAGCTAGGGTGGGACTAATAGACTTCCTTCATAGAAAGCATGGAAATTGAGAAACTACCCCCAAAACAAATTCATATTGGTTTTTTGTACATCAACTGAATTAGAGGAGAAAATACATCAAATGGAGAAGGAAACCTTAATTTAGGGTTTCCTCACCAGAAGACTTAAATATGATCTTTTGTTTTAGATGGCTTCTCATTATGTTGTTAAATATGGTTGTTTCTTTTTCTAAGCTAAGGTGCTCGATACGTTTACTTTTGAAGCAACAAATTAGGTTGAAAGCAGTCAACTCTGTTTCTAGTCATTTTCATTCTGGAAGTGGTAAATAGACAACTCTTAGTAACTAACAAAAATGCTCTCTTTTTGTTGCAAACATTAATGCAACAGATCTTTGCACTTGCAAAAATGAGCAGCAGTATGAACTTGTCCTATTCCTCAACAGTTGAGGCCGAGTTAACAATGATTACTCCTCTAGTCTTTTGTTCTCTCTACTTGAATCATTGTCATGTTACTTTTCATTCCTCATTTAATTCTCTGTTTTTACTTTCAATTCCATGTTTCTCCTTGTTATTTTTTCTCCTGTTCCAAAGCTTTTTGAAAAATTATCCTACTGTGCATGCTGCAACTAATGTTTTTCATGAATGGCTTGTATTAGAGTACACTGATGTAAAAGAAACCGAAATGTGACAACACTGGCCCTTTTAAATGATATGGTTTTTGATGTTCTTTCCTAGGAGGGTAGGCCCAAATGAAATACCTTCAATAGTATGTCTACTTTAACCCTTTTAGATGTCTTTTCGTGATTGCCAAAGTTTTCTTTTCTTTTCTATTGTAAGACGAATTTGATAGGAGATTCTACTGGTTGGTATCTGGTTAGTAAGTATTGGAAGAAGGGTTGGTTGGTTGGTTAAAAAAGGGTTTTACCTTTATCTGTATGGATCAACCAACAAGTAAAAGAATTTATTATTTTATGATGAAATATGGATGATGGAAGTGAGTAGTACAAGGGCTAGAAGTTGTTCTGTTCTGTCTAATTAAGTGGTGTAGCGGCAGCCAATCAATGATCTTTCATTTTAGTGAAACTGCACTCTCAAATCAAAACTCTTTTTACTGTTTCGTTGACTCTCTCTCTCTCTTTCTTTCTCTATCTCAACGTTTCATCAAAGCTGCATTTATACTCATCGCTTGCTTCTAAGTTCAGTGCACATTGGATACAACATTACTACATATTTATAATTATTTATTCAAAATTTATTTATAGTTAATAATAAATAATTTAAATTTGTTTCATTCTTGAACTTTACATTTCATCAATTTAATTAAAATGGACAAAATACCTCCTCTGATGTATTTATGTTTACTTCACTGTTGCTAATGCCTTTTTCAATTTTGATACTTTTTCAAAACATATCCTTATCAGAAAAAATAAAAAAGAAAAATTAATCTTGGATAACACATGACCATATAAGAATAGACATTTTACTAATTAACCCTTTAATTAATTTCTAATTTTATAATGTCATGATAGATTAATTTGAGAGAGTGTAGGATACAATTAACTTCATTTGGAGGGTTATTTGACCCAAAATAAATAAATAAATAATCATCTAGCTAGCATGTGAAAGAATTGTCTTGCATGTAACTTTGTCTTGATTTATAGTATTATATGGTGAAGTTTGGTCTTCAATTCAAACAAGTTTTCTTCATAGTTATTAACGTGGATAACTATGATTGTGATTGTGATTGTGATTCCTCAACTAATATGATTGTGATTGTAATTGTGATTGTGAATGTGATTCCTCATTTGGTGGTTGCTCTTTGGTGTTTTTTGAATCATCATCATCATCATCATTAGAAGTATTCGAGCTTTGGTACACTTATTGGTTTGGGTAGTGGGTTTGAACTTCCCACATCCATGAGTTCCTGCCAAAATTATTCCATTATTGATTGATTTGAGAGAGCAATGTATTTCTTGAATCTATCATAATCTATCAAGAGCATTGTAGAAACTTTTGGTTTCTTCATTAATATGCTTCATACTAGATATGCTTCTAGTATGCTTGATAGTACTAATTTAGATTGTAGCACCGGGATGCAATCATTAATGGTGCATGCATGCATAAATAGCCTTAGACCCGTCCAAGAATCTTCATTAGAGATACCTAGTCATATTTAATGAAGCTCTTCTTGGATTGTCCAGTTGGACAGTTTAGGAGCACAAGTCTATATTGTAATTAGTAGTTCTACTGCTTATAGTCCATCTAGTAGAGATTTCATGTAGCAACTCCTTGTGTTCTCCGAGTGCATACTAGACAAGGTGTAATAGTACACCTAGTCTATGTCGTGTATTTGGAGAACCATGGGGAGATGCTGCCGAAATTTCGTTAGAGATAAGCAGAGCGGTATGAGCTGCTTTTTACAATATAGACTGTGCATTCCTGAATAGGAAAGTAGGATGAACCAACATATTAGAGACCAGTTAGAGGTGAATGATGTCATATTGCATGCATTATAAGGTACTTAATTGAGGTTAAGATTAATTAAAACGGAACGGTAATTTTGAACTTTGTTGATTTGGCGGCATTTGTAGTGTAAGAGAGAATCAGATGGATAAAAGTTGGATAAATCAACATAGGTTGCACCCGGAATACATACAAGGGGTTAAGGAATTTATTAAATTTGCATGCAAAAATAAGCCGTTCTTGAATGAAGTCACATGCCCATGTAAACGGTGTCGTAATGTCAAATTGGTGGAGAAAGGCCTGCTAGGGGAACATTTAATGATTAACGGGTTTCTTCCAAGTTACACCAGTTGGATTTTTCATGGGGAGAATTTGTCATCGCCTGTGCCACACAATGTGAATGTCGGGCAAACTGATTCGAATGATGGTGATGAAACTTATGAAATGCTATACGAAGGATTTGGACTTCCTCCACCAAGCTTTATTCACGAGGCAGCAAGTTCTGGTATTAAACAAGGTCCAACTGAGAAAATCGAAAAATTCTTCAATTTACTGAAAGAGGCCGAAAGAGAGTTGTATCCTGAGTGTCAGAAGTTTTCAACGCTCTCATTTATTGTTCAATTATTGCACATCAAGTGCCTTAGTGGATGGAGTGACAAGTCTTTCACAATGTTGCTTGAGCTTTTGAAGGATTTGTTCCCAAAGGGTGAAACTTTGCCAAAGTCATTTTATGCAACTAGGAAACTTCTTAGGGACTTGGGCCTCGATTATCATAAGGTATATGCATGCCCAAGGGATTGTTCACTATATTGGAAGGAAACAGCTGGTATGGATGATTGCATAGTGTGTCATATGCCTAGATACATGAGGGGGAGGAGAATGATGTTAAGAAGAAGCAACAAAGAATTCCACATAAGATTGTTAGATACTTTCCATTGATTCCAAGGCTTCAAAGATTGTTTATGTCATCCAAAACATCTTCTTTAATGAGATGGCATGCAGAGGGCCGAATTGATGACGGCAAAATGAGACATCCCGCTGACTCTCCAGTTTGGAAAAATTTTGATAATTTGTATCCCAAGTTTACGAGTGAGCCGTGCAATGTTAGACTGGGTTTAGCAGCGGATGGATTCAATCCATTCAAGGCAATGAATGTCTCTCATAGCAGTTGGCCAGTTATTATAATGCCATACAATTTGCCACCATGGTTGTGCATGAAGCAGCCTCATATGATGATGACATTGCTCATCGATGGTCCTTCTTCACCTGGATATAGTATTGACGTCTACTTACGCCTTGTAGTGGATGAATTGAAAGAACTGTGGGAAAATGGTGTTGACACGTATGATGCGGAAACTAATCAGATGTTCCGAATGCATGCTGTGTTATTGTGGACTATAAATGATTTTCCTGCCTATGAAATTTTGTCTGGATGGAGCACGAAAGGCGCTTTAGCTTGTCCTTGTTGTAACACACATACTCGTTCTCGATATTTAAAGAACGGAAGGAAATTATGTTACATGGGGCATTGTCGCTGGTTAAATGGGGGTCACAAATTTCGGAAAGCTAGTGCGTCTTTTGATGGCACTCATGAATTCGAACCATGTCCAACTCGGTTATCAGGGGCTAATGTGCTACAACAACTAGGCCCTAAGTTCAAATTGAATTCTAAGCGTCAACAATCTAGCAAACGGAATAAAAAGGGGAAAGAAAAGGAGGAAAATGAGGACTCGGGTCATAATTGGAAGAAGAAGAGTATTTTCTTTGAGCTATCATATTGGGAGCATAATTTGATTCGCCACAATCTTGATGTGATGCACATTGAAAATAACGTGTGTGATAATGTATTGTGGATGATATTAAATGTTGATGGGAAAGGGAAGGACAATTTAAATACTCGTCAAGATTTGCAAGATATGGGAATTCGGAAGGCACTACATCCTCAGAAAAGGGTTGGGAACAAGTATTATTTGCCTCCTGCATGTTTTGCCATGAACAATAGAGAGAAAAGTCTATTCTGCACACTTCTAAAGAATATCAAAGTTCCAGATGGTTAAGCATCCAATATTTCTTGTCGGGTTAACCTTAAACAACGTAGCATATCTGGACTGAAAAGTCATGATAACCATATACTCATGCAACAAATACTTCCAATAGCAGTGAGAAATTTGTTACCGAAGAAAGTGGTTGAACCATTAATTGAGTTAAGCAATTTCTTCAGGCAGTTGTGTTTCAAAACCCTAGAGGTGGATGGTCTAAATTGTCTTCAGTCCAAAATCGCTCTTACACTTTGCCATCTTGAGAGAATTTTTCCTCCATCATTTTTTGATATAATGGAGCACTTACCCATTCACCTAGCAGAGGAAGCGAAGATTGTCGGTCCAGTGCAATGTCGATGGATGTACTTTGTAGAAAGGTGTGTAATTCTACTCCAATGTCCATTTTGTATATATTTGATTGTTTATACTTGGAAGTCATGTATGCATCTTTTTGTTTATTGGTACCTTATGACGCTTAAATCATACATCCGTAATCGAAGTCATCTTGAAGGTTCAATTGCACAGAGATACTTGGTCGAAGAATGTATAACATTTTGCTCAAGGTACTTGCATGATGTTGAGTCGAAATTGCATCGACTGTTAAGGAATTGCGATGTTAGTGACAATCCTGAGATATTAATGGGGCAGGCTTTAGGAAAAGGAAAAGGGTTTGTTCTTGATAACACAACATGGGTACAGGCTCATCGGTATATGTTATTTAACATTGCTGCGGTTGTCCCATATCGAGAGTAAGATAGACACAACCTTTGTCTCATCGTGAATGTATTTATACCAACTATAATTATCGTGCATTTTACAAGTAG